TATAAACTTTGTATCAGAAATAAAAAGCAAAAAAAACAAACTATAAAATCGTTCGAATTGGAACCAATTCACAGTTGGGTAAGTTTCTAAGTTTCAGATGACATGTTTTTCTATACTGTCTACATCTCAATTCAACTTACTTGCTTCTTTTCCTCCTTGTCTTATATTCTCAGCAGAAGGAACATCTGAAGCACTTACGTTCAAGCTGTCCATCACAGAGATGCAAAGAGCTTGATAGCATTCAATACATGACTTTACCATTGGCTGAAACAACCGAAAGGTGTTATGTCGTCCCACAAATATTAAATGATATGAGAAATTTTTTTTATCTGGAATTTAGGAATATTTTACTATTTTTTAAGAAAATTCAAACATTCACTCAACCACCAAAAAAAGCAAGAATAGGTCACAAAATTCTGGCACAAGGAGAGACTTTTTCAAGACTGGAATTCCAACTCCGAAAAAAAAAGTTGACTCGGACTTAGACTCTTGGTAATTTAAAAATAAGTTGCAATATTAAAACTTGCCAAAGTATGAGCCCTGGTCTTTTGTAAGATAATTCTTAATAATGTATTCAAAGTCAAAGTTTAAATGAAAAGATTGCAAGATGCAAAAATAAATGGTTTAAAAATATCAATTCGAAAATAACCGACCTCGTTTTCAACAAGGAATCTTCTATAAGTCACTGGTACTTTATGCAAATCAATGTAGTTGTTCAATTTCTTCAGAAGTTTTTTGCGATTTTTTTGCTCATGTTTTATCCAAGATATCAAAGCCTTCAGCTTCACACTCTCTGATGCCTAGAAAGATACAGAACATCAAGAATATTCAATATAGAATATTCGGGCCATGTTCATAACACAAATTAAGTACTTCTAGCTGGCGTGGCACAACCATTTTTGCATATGTGTTTCCCAGACCCCAACAGATTATGTCATTCAAAAATTACGTCGCTATGACATCAAAGCAACGTAATAAGGCCCCCTAAATTAGACCAACCTCATCCAAGACGCGCACACGATCACCTAAAATCGAGCATACTATGTCTCTTGTTTTCTCGTCACACGTTTCCGATATGAGAAAGATTGCTGGCGTAAGTGAGTTCGTGATGGTTGGCGAAGATGCCATATTCAGGCGGTCGTAGTCTGGCAAGCTGTTTGGCGTGATTGTAAGGTCGAAGTAACATAAAATTTGGATGACGGAGCCAGGTGAGTGTCAGGAATGGCATATGCAAAAATGTTTATGCCACGCCAAATATAAGTAATTGCCACGTTCATTTCTAAACTTGGCGGCGAAACTTGCATTTGTTGCGAAATAATATGCTCTATTAGGCTTGCCCAGACTCAAATACCATGGATGTAAAATGTACTGTATTTTGCGCATGTGCAGTACCGTATTCTTACTGTTATGAGAAACACAACAGGCTCTGCATGAAACTGGTTTAGAGGTAACTTTTGGGGGCATGTCATTAAATTCACACAACATCAGGCACGCGATCGACTACTCGAGACGTGGTGATCGACGTGATGGCCACCCCTGCTATACAGCAAAGCAGTGCGTTCCACCAAGTCAGAAGGTTGAGTGGCTGCTTGTATCATGAAAAGAATCTAAAACCTTGAGAATCTAAAACCTTCAGTGTCCAAATGAGTGACTACTTCTATAAAGTCTTTTCAAAATGAAGATTTGAAACAAAACACTGCAAATACCTTGTTTTTTTGTGATTTGATCAATCCAACAAATCCCTTTTCCTCTATTTCCTTGAACTCATCAAGAACTGCAATTTCTTCAAATTTATCCAGCATGAACTTCTCGCATTTTTCCATCAATTCTTTGTAATTGTACAGGTTTGCGATTCTTTTTGTCGCAAAAAATGATTCCGAAGACGATTCGAGATTTTCTTCGAGTGAATCAACGATGCTTTCACAGACATCTGTTCAAAAAAAAAAAACATGCATGAAGTTATATATATATTCAAACATTTATCAATGAACAATCAAACATCTATTTTGATTTGCCCCCCAGAGCTTTTGGCTTTTCTTAGTTATTTCGGAACCTTTCCTTGCAATGTAGAGGAATGATTACAAAGTGGCCAAAAAAACAGAACTCAGGTCATTTGAATCATAACTTTTGCGCAAAGCATCTTAGATTACCAAAACTTTTGGGAGCAATCATACTCGAGCAAAGTGCAATTATTAATTGAATTTTCCTCATTTTCGTGAAGGTGATTCATAAATTCTGTTTGCCTTGGGTCACCATGTTGAACTTGGAATGAAAGTTAAGAAATAATGATATGGCAGATTAATTAAGATAATAAACCAACAGGTTTTCTGTTCAGTAAAAAACTAGCCAGAATAACAATAGAAATTCAGGCCCATGTTCACCAAATAGATCCATTTGTGGGAGATTGTCTAATTGATTTGAATCACGAGGTATTGAGTGAACCTCGGTACAATCTGAAAGAAAGATCTATTTTATATCATCACCTTTCAACTGTAGTAATTCAGCCACAAACATCAAAGATTCAGCATTTTCATCAGTAGTAGACAATTCACCAGTGTAAATATATTCTATGCATTGTTGCAGGGATAATGGATCAACTTCTTTCATTTCCACTTTACCAGACGCTGTCTCAGCATTCTGAAGTGTGATAATACCAAGGATTAAAACCACATTAACAAGGGTAACAGTACCAACTGTAAAAGAGTTAACTCAAACAGTTAACCATTGAGATATCACATAAACATCAACAATGTATAAACACAACTTACATTATGAGCCAGCATTGCTTTGAAATAATCAGATCCTACAGATATAATATTCTTATGAACTGGGATTTCTTCAGAGCCAGCTATGATCATGAAATCACAATGATCTCGAGTTTCCTTTCTGCTTCTGCAAAATTAAATTTTAAATCAGCATTGCACTAAATGTGTTTTCTATTCCGCACAGGAAATTCTTGTGTGAATTTTCAAGTCTTAATACAGGGCTGGGAAGCTGATTTGAAATCACTATGGTTCTAGCTCTAATTCCGGATCTACAATATATCAAATGTGACTCAAGGTCTGCTGGTTTACTCATCTGCTGGTCTGCTGTTTTTTGGGTATGGGCACTACATGACACATTAATCCAGATACAGTTATGCGAGAGTTAAATCTGTGTTATAGGGACTTTTAGATTGTAAAATTAAAACTTCAATTTCATACAAGAAAATCGAAATTGAAAAAATTATAGGATGCCTACAGATTTTATTTGTATGAAGTTTTATAAGTCTGGAAAAAGAATTAGATGGTTAAAAGTTGGAGCCACTAATTTTCTGGTAGCACAGGCTTCAGCTCCGTTTCCCACCTCCATCTACAAAAAAACACTGTGGCTACATGCAGTGACGCAGCCAGGGGGGGGTCGAACCCACCCCCCCTTTGAATTTTCTGAAAGGGAAATAGTTGCCGATAACACGTGCAATTGCCTTCTGCTAAAATCGCCGTTCGTTTTCATCAACGCGGCGTCTAATTTATGCCGTGAACGCCCTTCACATTGGTGTTTATTCTCTTTAAATCACAAATTTGTGCCGCGGGAACAATGATAATTATTTTATTTTTGTACTCGCACGGAAATGTGAAAACTGAAAAAGCGTGCAATTGCCTTCTGCTAAAATCGCCCATGTTTTCATCAGCGTGTTATTTAGGCCGTAAACGCCCTTACGTCGGTTTTTATTCTTTCTAAATCATAAATTTGTGCCACGATAAACATGATAATTATTTTATTTTTGTACTTTGCATGGAATTGTGAATTCGTGAGTTATTATACGTTCATCGGTGGCGAAGTTCTAAAGACAAAAGGAGTAAAACCGCGATCTAAATTTCATTGAAAAGCGACATTATAAAATACTGAAAATAAAACCGCAAAAAAAATATAAGTTTTGTTGAGTCCCGCGACAGTCTAAAAACGCTTTCTAGTCGCAAAATCGCAAAATTTCGTGTGCCTACGGCGCACAATATGTTTGGTCGCCGTTTAGGAACATACCGTCACTAAAATCGAAACACGGTTAATTGTGGGTGGGATTTGCTATTCATCCATTACTTTATAATTGTCGTAGAAAATTTTCGTGTTATCATTAAACAAGGTTGAAAACGCGATTTTTTTCCCGGTTTGTGATGATATATAAGATAATTAATCCGGAGTCAATGTTACAAGCACATCTCAAATTTGTCGAATTTGCAAAATAGAAAAAATACGGATCGAAACAATATATAATAGGCGACGGGCAGTTACCACAAATTTTTATGTCTGCAAATGGCCGAGGTATTTTAAAATTGTGAATTGTAAAAAATTGTATTATTTTGTCGACGCAAACGCTGGTTAAATTGAAGACAATTAAATTAATAAAGCAAGACATTTTAAATATGCCCTTATCGGTCACGAATTGATTACTTTGCACAACAGAAAAATCATTTTTCGTTGTAAACGTCGGCTTTTCAAGTGGCGTAATCGCGGCGATGAATATGTAATTTTGATTTAACGATATACTTCATATGCATTTTCATTGTACGAAATAAAATTGTACTTTTCGAGATTTTATATCAGTTATTGAGATTTTTTTAACGCCGATAACGAGTTGGAAAGATTCCAAAAATACGTATTCAAATTAAATACACCGTTTATCTCATATTTTTATGTCCACCGATCGCCATGGCATTTCAGAGAACTAATGTTTTAATTTTGACGTAAGAAGAAGCAACCGCGAGTTACGATGGACACAATTAAATTAATATATAAAGACATTTTAGACACAATTAAATTAATATATAAAGACATTTTAGAATTTTGTAGTTATCAGGGATTGAATATTTCACGCGACAAGAATAATCATTATACGCTGAAAAGACGTCCCTTTAACAAGCTACATGGACCCAGCTCTGATTAGTAGGGAATGAGTATGTGTACATGATCATAGAGATAAGCGATATCACCGTTGCCAATTCTGACTATACAACAACAGTAATCAGTAATCAGTAGTTTATTTTTTCACCACACATGAAATACACTAAATGCATACGGAATGTAAAAGGAAGCAAAAACGGATAATTCGAGGTGAAAGGAGTCGCGAAAACCAAAATTGGTTATCGAGCGGCGACACCTGAGCTAAAGTCTAATAAATGAATCATAAAACAATGAAAAAAGTCAAACAATAAATAAAAGAATATAAAGAAGTGAAAAATCGAGACGACCTGAATCCAAGAGACGCTCGAAACACAGAAAAGCAAAACCAAAAACGACTTCAAGCACATATGTGCGAGTAACTATGGGAACGGCAGCAGGAATGCAGTACAGTGCGATGACAGGATACCGAACAGATATCGCAGCGTTATGGAATTGATAGTTATTTAAACAGATTTTAAATATATCCCGGTAGGGATATTATGCCGATAACACGGCGTAATCATAGTTATAAATGTTTGCCAAGAGTTCAAATAAGATTGCAAGTGCTGGGGTGCAAGAAGATTGCAAGTGCTGGGGTAAGTCGAATCGTCATTAATACATTACAGATAAAAATTATTCTAATCTGTGAAAAACAGGTTAACTCAACAAAGTAGATGGGGGTAACAATAAATAGCGTTGTAAATTAGTAAGCATACCGCTTGGAATCGTTGAGAATATAGAATGAACACGATATGTGTATGAACAGATGGATGAAATAACCACTGCAGCACTGAGTATCAACAGTGCTATATATATACAAATTTCGAAAATGCAACAAAGCACAATAATAATAAAGTGGTAAATATGATAGCTTTTTACAAAAATATATACGAGATAGTTATTAAATTGTATTTGGTGAGAGACCAATATCAAGGATCATGAGTGTAGAACTGTTGAAAGATACTGCTAACACTATACGATTAGGCTATGAGCAAAATTGAATTACCATTGTATGACAAATGGCCATACAGTATAATATAGTGCAGAGCATGCACTATGGAAGTAGATGATAATAAAGAAGCAACTTAAATATTTACATGAAACATTCAGATTCACTTATTACAGGTACTGTCGACTCTGGGAGGTTGTGGACCTAGTCAAGTATTCTGCTGGCAGTGCCGAGGGAAAGTCAGTAAGCACATCAAACAGATGTGCTGGAGAAAGACAGGTAGGATGAAAGCATGAATTTTTTATATTTTATTTTGAAAGTAGCATATGTGGAGTCACGTAAACTTTGGGGAATGTTATTCCAAATTATTACGCCTTTGTATTTCAGGGAATTTTGAGATTTGCTCAGCGAAAAGCGAGGTACAAAAAGATTGGATTTGGTCGAAGAGCGTGTGTTGTGTTCATGCACAGAGGTAAGCGAAACAAAATAATTGTCGAACGCTGTGGGCAAGTAATTATTCTGAAATTGGTGCATAACTTTGGCAATCTCTAGAGTATAAATGTCGGATAGTTTCAACACCCTGGTTTTATGGTAAAGGGTGTTTAAGTTTGTACGAATAGACGCTCTGGAGAGAGTTCTAACAGCTTTATTCTGTAAGACCTCCAATTTGTGAATGTTGGTTTGTGTTGCAGAGCCCCATGCAGTTATAGCATATTGGATGTGGGATTGAAAAAGAGCAAAATAAATGGTTCGCAGGGTAGCATCCTGCACATAATGCCTAAGTTTTCCCAAAATCCCAACAGACCTTGACAATTTCTTGTGCATCTCGGTAATATGAGTGTTCCATTTTAAGTTACTATCTATATAGAGCCCGAGATATTTAAAGGATTGAACAACTTCCAAAGCAACCCCCCTGATTTTGATTAACATGTTGGAATGTTTTTTAATTGATTTAGGACTGAATAGCATGACTTTAGATTTTTTTACGTTCACAGTGAGTTTGTTGCATAACATCCACTCAATTATTTTATCTATTTCAGTGTTCATAGTATTTTGGAGCGTGGTTGAATCTTTGGCACTGGCAAGCAAGCAAGCGTCATCGGCGAAGAGTTTTGTTAAAAGATTCGAACAGTTCGACAAATCATTTATGAAAAGTAAGAAAGCCAATGGTCCAATGACCGAACCTTGGACAATTCCACAGTGGATGGGCAACATCGGAGACCTATGACATCCTACTTCAACAAACTGTGATCGACCACTCAGGTAATTACATAATAGTTTGCATGCGTTACCTCTAAAACCACAGTGTATCAACTTTTGGACAAGAATTTGATGATCAACTGTGTCAAAGGCCTTCTTTAAATCCAGGAATGCACAACAGACAGACTCCCCTTTATCAATTTTTTCATAGATAAATGAAATAAGATCTAGGATGGCATGGGAAGTCGAGTGATTGGATTGAAATCCGAATTGGCATTTGTCGATCAGATTGAATTTGTTACAGAAGTTGAGCATTCTTTTATAGACTAATTTTTCCAGGACGATGCCGATACAGGGTAGAATTGAAATTGGCCTATAATTTGAAGGATTATTTTTGTTGCCACTTTTGAAGATGGGTATTACCCTAGCAATCTTCAGAGCGGAGGGAAAAATTCCTAAACTAAATGATAGATTAAAGAAATGACTCAAAGCTGGGGATATGCTGTCTGCGACTAATTTTAAGAAAAAAGAAGGAATATTATCATGCCCAACTGCTTTGCCTTTTTTCAGGTTCATTATTACTTGGTGAACTTCTAAGGTGTTGATGGCTCCAGAAAAAACGAATTCTGTGTAGGAGCACCCAAAAAGGCTTTGAAAGATTTCGTACTGTGTGGGACATTATCGGCAAGTCTCTTTCCTACGGATGAAAAAAATTTATTAAATTCAACGGATATCGCGACAGGGTCTGAGACTATGGTACCATTTTCAAGCTTCAGTTCCGAGATAGTGGTTTCATCATTGGACCTTACTTTGATGATGTCATTTATAGTTTTCCAAGTGCGTTTAACATCGCCTCTGTTGTTCTCTAGGATGTTATGGTAATACATTTGTTTTGATCTCCTCTGCAAATGTGTCAAAATATTTTTATATTTTTTAAAGTGGAGACGCTGGGATAAATTTCCCTTCAGGAACTTACTTTTGAACATCTTGTTCTTATGTTTAATGGAATTACGAATTCCTTTAGTAATCCAAGGTTTGGAATAAAATTTTTTTCTCTACGCGAAAATGGTCTTAATGGGGCATGCTTATTGATTAACCACTTGAAGTGACTAAGAAAAGTATCAAATGAGCTATTGAAGTTTACTTCAGATAATATAACACTAGTATAATTATTACACATTGACTCAACTTCTAGCCTGAACGAGTCAGCACAAAATTTAGTCATGTCCCGTTTCATGCGAGTGTTTGTTTTAACGTTACTATTAGTTGCTGGTATTGTGCACATTATGGGAAAGTGGTCGGTGAGATCACTGAGCAAAATAAATGACGAAGTGCGGGAATCTATGATATTAGTGTAGATGTGGTCAATTAATGTGTGGGAGGTTGAGGTCACTCTGGTTGGTTTGGTGATAAGTGGACATATGAAATTGGACATTAGCATATCCAGATACTTGGTAGTAGGATTGTCACAAGAATTAAAAAGATTTATATTAAAGTCGCCTAATATAATAAATTGCTTTTTAGCCATCGCCAGCTTCTCAAATAAACAAGACATTGCTGTGGTGAATGATGGATATTTTTTTTGGATGTCTATATATTACACCGACAACAAGATTTTGAATTTTTGAGGTTGGTTGGAAATATTTGAGTTCGATCCACAAGTCCTCACAGTTTGGGAGGCAAAGGCTGAAGTCAGTGCATAAATGAAAGTTTAGATTGTCCCTAATATAAAAACCAACACCGCCTGCGCGAGTAGAGGAGGGAGCATGAATGAAAGTGTAACCAGAGATATCAATATTGACAACAGCAGTTTCACTCATGATCCTAGTCTCGCTTAGAGCAATAATTTGAGGTGGAATACAAAAATTTGAAATTAGCTCAACTAGATTATCGGCATATTTTGCCAAAGATCTGATGTTATGGTGCAATATAATAAAGTCTGTTGCTAGAAAACTTGAAGTTACTCTATTGATATTGGATATTTCAAGGTATCGACTTGCAATAGAATAAGGAATTTCGGGATGAAAATTGGTTGATTCCCAGGTAGGATAAGGATCACTCATAGATGAGGAATGCTAATGGGTTCGAATTAGATAACATTAGGTTGGTTGAGGCGAGGGGGGCAAAGTCATTAGATGGGCTATTCCAATGGGGACTGAAGTTATTTAAACCAATAACATGATAGAATAATTTACTAGGATATGGCAGTAAAAAATTAAATAGACTCATCTTATTTTATCAAGATCTTCATCTTCAGTTATGGATAAAGTGTTAGTGTCTTTGTTCTTTTTTATCAGCACTTTGCCATTTGATGTCCATAGGAAGGCGTAACCACATTGTCTTTTGAGAATTTTCGCTTTGTAAAATAAGTTCTTGTTTTTGTCGGTCAAATTCTCAACAACAAATGCTTTAGATAGGTTCCTTATGGATGTTGAATTGGTAGCGGTTTTGATCAAGTGACGATTTTTGAGAATTTTAGCTCTGATTTTGCGATTGGTAAATTTTGCGACAATCGGTTTATGGATGTTGGAATTTCGCGTTGGACAACGATGTGTTACAGAGATGTCAGATGGTTTGATGTCCACGTGGATGATCTTTCCAATTTCTGTTATCAATTTGTCGGTGTCCTCATTTTCATTAGGTGCGATGCCATGAAATTCTAGATTATCCAATCTAGATCGGCGCTCTTGTTCCTCAATTTTTTCTGTGGCATAGTATAATTCGTCCTCCAAGTCATAGACCAACTCTTCTAGATCTCTTATTTTTTTGCCATAGAGCATAAGTTTGTCATCTGTTATTTTTTGCTTGGCAATAATCTCATCATATTTTGTTGATTGAAAACTTTGAGATTCTTTAATAGAAGCTAGATCTTGTTTTATTTCTTTTAGAGACACCATTTGGTCCTCCATACATTCTTTTAGCCCAGGACTCATAGGCAGGTATTCAGAGGTGAAGTTCGCGGAGTTGAAGTTTCCGGCAAGGCATTTGGCAATTAAAGATGGTAATTTTTTTCTACTATATTTCTCTGTATTGCCTCCTGGAGATTCATCTGGAAGTTAGCTTGCCCCTCCTGTTGTTGCGTTAAGGGGCCAATTGGTGAAAGGCCAGGATCCGGGAGACTCCTGGTCAGGCATTGCTTGGGCTGCGAAGCCATGTTGTTATAGATGATTGACTTATATGCTGGAATTGATGTTGAAGTACACAGTGATGATTCAATTAGACTATTCTGCTAGTTTTAGGTTAGTTTTCAAAACCTGTAGATCTTAATCGAATAGCGAATACCTTGGTGGTTGACCAAAACATTCACAACTGTTGCGGCGCTCGAACACCCAAGCGTGCTGACGAGCAGTGTTAACTATAAGCGAATTATGAGTGCGAAAGTGCTTCGCAGTCCAAAAAAAAGTGCGAAAGGGCTTTTGCCGATTTTAACAAGTTAGATGCCCTAGCTTTTGTTTTAACTCATTTAAAACAGCATAGATACTCGAACAAGCGCTCCTTCGGTTGATATTATGAATTAAAGAGGAGCCTTTACGATAACAGAGTTTCGTTTAAATCCTTGTTTAAAATATGTGAATTCGCGTACAAAACTTTCATGCAATCAATCACCCGTGTTGGATGCCATCTCGCGTGAACAGCAAAGGCTTTCACATTTGAGTTACGCCTTCCATCTAACAGACAACAATTGATACATAAAGGTTGGAATCCATATTAGTTATGTGGTGGATCATTTGTACAAAGCCCCTGCAAAATAACATCCCCCGCCACCACCCAAATAAAAATAGTAATTATCCAATTAGGGTTAGAAATGGAGATTGCGCTGATAATAAACTTTTTAATTTATCCCTAACCGTAATCGGATAATTATTAATTTGTCATTTTAAATCACTTTGAAAGTCGCCACCCGCTGTTTTAAAGAAAAAGGTTGACCTATGTTCCCTCCGAAATATTATGCAAGATCCTCCCCTGTTTTAGGAGATAGGTTGAGGTAAGACTACTTTGAAAATCCTCCCCATTTCCTATAGCTAGCTTGACCTAATTTCTAATTCACATAAATATTATACTATTTCAGAGCTTACGCGAAGACAAGTATTAAATGTCGGCGTGCCTTGGTTTGTGTGGGAGTTAGTTCAAATCGGATAGAAAACATCATATAGTGGCAAATTTTTCAGGAATGCCATGTACGTTCAGCATTCATAGATAGCACTCTCTGTAATGCTGCATACCTAGTATGTAATATTCGCATTCCAAAGTCACCTGCGACGTTTCCATATATTACAATTACACTAATAGAGACGATGCCACCAAAGAGTTTTCTTTTGCGAAGGTACACGAAACACAACGACATGATTCGGAGTGTGTCACGAAATACCAATCCATTTGACAAATATTTTTTATTCGACCTCATGAAACGTTGAATATTGAAAAAGACGTACGATACGCATTCTCAGATATCAGACATTCAGTCGCGATATATAATCGTTCATGTGCACAAATATCACATACAACATCGGCTATTTGTGCATAGAATGTACAACTCTTGTGTATGTGTTTCAATAAAACCGAATCGTTTTTTCGTGCATCATTACAGGTATTTTTAATAGTAATTACGTCCCGAGTTTGTCAAGTTTAGAAACCTCTTGTAGATTGGAAGGTAGATTGGAAGACAACACGTAACGGCTTTTCTTTGATCACAATCGACAATTTATCGTTATTATTGAAGGGTTCGTCGACTGAAAAGTGAATGTCGAATCCAGAATACCGAGCTCCATTCTATTTTTATTGTTATCCAAATGTGAGATTTCTCCCTTCATATTTATGGATTACAACTTTGAAAAAGCAAAATTGTGAATGTACCCTTTGTATTTTAATTGAAAAAACATTAAATTATTATTAATGTGAAAGCGCCAAAAACACGCAGTCCATTCCGAGAAAATGCAATTTATATGGCCGCACTTGGTAGGGCGCGTTAAATATTTGTGTAAATAAATTTATCGAATATCAATTATAATCAAGTATGTTACCATGTTTATTTTCTGCAGACACGACTTATTATCGTTATACAAACCATTTGTGGCAACTTTTTTAATTTATCGTTGACCAAAATACCGCCCGACACTCGACCAAACGTATGTCGAGCTTGAAAGATAGGAACAGATTCATCGGCAACTTGAATTAAATATAACTTTGTATTTTCGGAAACGCGGTGTCGTGGAAAGTAAAATTTGATCTAAATTAATCTCGAATAATGTTTTATTTTGTATGTAACAAAACGCATTTTCAGGATATAACTTTGTATTTTCGAAATCGGATGTCGTGAAAAGTAAAATGTGATCTAACTTAACGGTAAATAATGTTTTATTTTAAATGTAACAAAACGCATTTTCGCGATATAACTCTGTATTTTCGAAACGAGATGTTGGAAAAGTGAAATGTGATCTAAATCAACAGTAAATAATGTTTTATTTTAAATGTAACAAAACGCATTTTCGCGATGTAAGTTTGTATTTTCGAAACGGGATGTTGGAAAAGTGAAATGTGATCTAAATTAACCGTAAATAATGTTT